GGGAGGGAGGGAAGGGGAAAGCCTGGCAGCCAGCAAGCCCAGGTGGCCAAAGGGACTCCTCAGCCTTCCTGGCTCTGGGAGGCTGCCAGCAGGCTTCTCACCCTCCCATCTCAGCCCCACCCTCCCCCAGCTGTGTGTCCTGGTCTTATCTGAGCCACCAGCCCAGCCCCACCTCACACCACCCACCCTCTCATCTTCAACCAGAGCCAGGCAGCTCCCTGGGAAGTAGGTGATAAGACTCGCCCTGGAGGGGGGAACCTCTAAATTTGTGCCCACCCATCTCCAAGCCTTTTGTTCCAGGCAAGGGTGAATCCAGACTGTGGCGCCCTAGACTTGGAGAAAGGAAGGCATCCCCTGCAAGCCCCTACACCCCAACACCAGGCAGAACGGGAGCCTTAGGCCTCAGGGTCTCTAATCCAACCTTTGCTGTCATCCTCTACCAGCCACTAACTGCCTGTGCCAGCGCCCGTGCTAGGGACTTTCACATGTCCCCAATGAACTCTTACTTGAGATGAGGCTGAGAGGGTGACTGGCCAAATGCCACCCCAGGGGAGTCAAGGTGGAATTCCTACCCAGGCCAGCTTGGGCCAAAGCCAATGAATGCTTTTGCAATGAACTTCCCCCAAAGACACTTTAGTCTGAACTTGGAACTTGGTCTGCCAATCTCACTTGTAGAACAGGAGTGGGGAGTCGGTGGGGGGCGGGGGGGACCCAGCTCTGTGCAACCAGGCAGGGTCAGCCAGGCTGGAGGCCTCTAGATAGTAAGGGAGTTAGGAAATGAGGTGAGTTGTTCCAGTGGGCTGGGGTCAGGCTGGCCCCGCCCCGCCCTGTCTCTGTGTCATTCAGTGTGACTGCCTTGCCCCCTCCCTTTCTTCAGTCTTCCTGCCTCTCCTTCCCTTTTGACTTTTTCTTCATCTTTCTCCCTCCTTCTCTCTTTCCCTTTCACCCTCTCCCTCTCCCCCTTTGGGCCCCACCTCCGCAGTTGCTGTGGCAACAACTAAATGCCAGAAATAAAGGCAGGATCCAGCTAGGTCACCAGTTCCCAAAACAGCATCCCCGGGTGGGGAGGAGAAGGGCAAGGGCCGGAAGCAGACCACGGGGCAGGGACCAGGCACACTCCAGTGGCAGTGTGTGTGTATATGTGCTGGAGAGTGGGGCAGGACACAGGACAAGGGAGGGCTTGGCCTGCTCTAGGCCAATGGCTCACCAGGTTGTCCCCTACTGAAACCAGGCCTGAACCCCTGACCTTTCTAAGGATGGCAAACCTGGGCACTTCTTCTTCTTCTCTCATTTTCTTTCTCACCCCAGGCAATTTTTAAAATCCTTGTTCTGCCTGCTAAGACTAGGGTCCCTAGACACTCTCTCACCCCGAACAGGATCAGGCAGGGGCAGTGTGAGCCCAGAGAACACCTGTCCAGGCTCTGCCCTACTATTCTTGATGCCCACAGGATTAAGCCTCTGGCTGCCTTCTCCTCTGACCCCCCATAAATGTATATCTACTTGTCCATTTTTTCTTGGGTCTCTCTCTTCCCTGGGTTTGAAGATAATCTCTCTACACCTCCCTTTGACAAGGTCCCCATTTTCTAGTTCCCCAGCCCCCTGAGCTTGCTTGGTCCCAACCTGCTCCTGCTCCAGCCCCTGCTTATATCTGGTCCCCATGTGCAAACGAGATGGGAAGAGTTGTGGGAGAGGGTGGGCGCTTTCACAGTAAATTCAGCTTTTGAAATTCTGGGAACATCCCTGTTCTCTCGTGAGCTCCAAAAGAATAGTCCTGCAGATATCCGACCACCAGAGAACACCCTGGCCCAGGTGTGGACCAGGCCACAGAGAGGCTGGCAGCACTGAGACAAGACTTACAGGTGCACATGGGTAGCACAGTCCCACTCTTACAACACGGTTAGAGACAGAACACGTGCACACAGGTGCATGCAGGGAGACTCCACAGCCCTGCTTGCCAGATCACGCCCCCACTCTCCCAGCAAGGCCCCCACACAGCGACACATGGTGCTGAGGACACCCACTTGAACCCACCCACTGATCCTCCCCTTGGCAACCGTTCTCTACCTTCAGCCCCCCACACCACATGCTGCCACCATCCCTGAGCTGTGCACGTGTACAAGTAACAACACTCACAGGACCTACCATCCCAGTCCCTGAAGCCTCCCCATGTCCCCCATTCCCACAGCTGCACAGCCTGCCTTCTAGACTGGTCCCATCCCCTGACTCTCACAACCTGGCAACCAGTCTCCTGAGAGGGAACCACCAGGTGCTCTTGCCCGAGAAAGGAAGCTCGTCCTGCCAGGCCTAGGAACCTCTAGAGCTGGGATGGTGACCCCAGGACCCTGGAAGGGCCTGTGTCTGCTCAGCACCCAGCTCCTTCAGGCCCAATTGCAACCAAGTCCCAGTACCCGGAGAGCAGAGGCCAGGCCTACAGCCGCGCCCTGCCACTAGCCTCATTCTTCACTGGTCCCCACCCAGCCTGGCCAGCCAGAGTTAGGAGGGGCTCAGGAACAGACTCCAAATCAACAGCATAGGGGCCCCTAACTGGCCCTCTCCCACCTGGAGGACACCTGGTGGGTGGGTAGCTGGCTGTGGCTTCTTCTTCCATTATTCAGCAAGGAGGGAACCGCTCCCTTGCCCCACGCATGCCCCCACATCCCTAGGATTTCTGGTCAGTGAAACTAGGTAGGCAGGGCCAGAGAAGGGGGTACTGGACTGGCAGCATGGACTCCTTGTGCATGGAAAGCCCCAGGCCCTCTTCCCCAGATCACATCAAACCTAGGGGTCGGTCACCAAAGTCCTGTTTCCCACTGAGCAACGTGCCAGAGCTGGGGCATTCCTACTACCACCCAAAGCCCTGCTCCAGGCAGGGGCTGCAGCCCAAAGTGCCCACAAAGGGGAAGAGAGGCGGAGACCCTGCCACCTACCTCTTCCCAGGCTGTGGCCCAGACGCCCTTAAGGCCCCGGGAGGCGCAGGCCCTGCTCCACAGGCTGCTGCTGCGTTTCCTCAGGAGCCTAGGTAAGAGGCGTCTCTTGCAGGAAACCAGCCTTGCTTTCCGAAGCACAAATAACAGGAAGAAAGCCGGCTTTGGGTGGGTGGGGTGGGAGCTGGCAAAGGAGGGGAGCTGGTCTTGGCTGAGCGCTGATCTCCCCTCTGGGCCCCCACCCCCCTCGCCCCCACCCTGCTGCTCCGCAAGCCACACCACGGCTTGGGTCCCCGTGTTGGGGAGCCCGCGTCTGATGGGCGGGCAGCAGGATGGCTGGCTGACTGGCCGGCTCCCCACACCCTCCCGCACCCTCCCCACCTCCAGCTGATAGTGGCCGCGAGGGTGTGTGTTTGGATTGCCGCTCTTCCACCCGGGCTGCAGTCAATCCATCTCAAACAAGAGGAGCATTAGCCGGCATCATGACGAAGCAGAATCCGCTGCGCTGTCCTTTCCCCTTTCCCACACCCCTACTCTATGACACCCACGCGGATGCGTGCACGCGCACACGCACACTCACACTCAGCCCCTCAAACCTTCTCATAAACAGCCAGAGACTTCAAGTAGCTGGGGGTGGGGGCGGGGTGCACTACTGATAACTGAGGGGGACAATATGTGGCTCTCCAAGCACCTGTGCCTTCTTCCTACCCCATTCACAGCCACCCCATCATCTTTCAGCAGCAGCAGAGGCCTCTGGGGCCCCATCTCTCAGGGTGAGGGTACAGGCAGAGGTACCAGAATGGGTCACCCAAGGATGCAGGAAAGCGGTCCTCAGTACCAGAGACTCAGCTGGCCCTTCAGGAACCTGAGTGCCCGGGGAACTGCAATGGAGAGATGAAGGAGCCTGACTCTCCCCTTCCCGCCAGGGGGTCCCCTTTCTGGAGTGTGGAATTTACTAAGCCCTGCCTTCCCGGTCTGGCAAAACCTCCTCCACTCTAGGCCTCTGTCATTGGCCTGGGGTGCCCCCCTGGGCAGGGGCAGGAGGGCAAGAGCCTAACCAGTGACCCTGACCTTCCCTGGCCAGCTCCCTCTCTTACCCCTCTGCCTCGACCAGACTTGCCTACCTAGGCAGCCTCGCTGTTGCCCCGGTAACATCAGCGGGTCAGCTGATGGTATCCAGTGGCTGTTGAGGAAGTCTAGAAACTGGGGAGGGGGCTCTGAGGTGTCTGGATGGAAACTCACAGGGGGAGACCTTGAAGGGGACAGGTGTGAGTGCGCCAGGATCTTTTACTCCAAGAGGACAGGAAGGGACAGGAAGGGAGGGGTCTGTCTGGATTCGGAGAAGGCAGAGCAGAGTGTAAGCTGAAGGGTGCTCTGGACAGAAATGACAGGTAGCGGCAGGTAGCGAGTGGCTGGGAAAGGGGAGAGAGAACCCGGATTTAACTGCTGGATGGGGTGTGGGGAGGGCCCTGTGGAAGGTACAGAGACAACCTGGGGGTGGGAGAAACATCCCTACAACCAGGGAGAAAAAGGCCAGGAGAGACGTGGGAGCGGGTATACCTTTAATGTGCAGGAGGGGGCCATAGCCATGAGGAGGGGCCAGCAGGCCTTCTCCTATAACCAGCCTGGCCTCTGTCCAGCCTCCGGGCTCTCTCTCCTGCAGCCCCACCCTTAGTGCTCTGGAATCAGAGAGAGAGGAGAGGCCCTGGGCCCACTCCAGTCCGGAAAGTCTCCCTTCAACCCTCTAGAACAACTCAGCCCTTTAGGATTCCTGACCTTTCCATCATCTGGGTTCCTCCCTGCTGTCGCCTGCCCTCCACCAGACCCCACCCCAGGAGACATTTTCCCCCCGTACCATGGTCCCTAGAGGGAAGGAAAGTTGGGATGAGCTGATGCTGGAAGGACCACTATGGACAGGGGCCTGGAATGAGGTGGGTCGGGAGCCCTGGGTGGGAGTCGCTGAACCCAGGAGAAGGGACTCTCCCCCTAAGGCAGCCAGCATGTGGTATAGGCAGAGTGCAGGGAGTCAGGGAAAGGGCTGGAGGAGGGTAGGAGGAGGGGGAGGGTTCTCGGTACCTTCAGGGGCCTGGGGCGTGGGGCAGGAGCACAGCAGCCTCCGCGGTGACATACACCTCCATCCCTCGTCGCATCTCCTCTCCGCCTGTGGTTGCCAAGGCAACCAGCCGGCAGCCCAGGCCCGGCTCAGCAGCGGCGGGGGGGAGGAGGAGGAAGCTGTGGCTCCTACGGCCTCTATTCCTCAGGGACTGGGGGTGGGGGGTGGGGGGAGCTGCAGGGAGCCTCTAGTGCTGGGGTGGGGGCTCCTACTAGGCCCCATCAGGCCTCCCCTCCCCCACTCTGTCAGGCTCCAGGATTGGCTCCCAGGATGGCCTCAGGAGAACCCTAAGTCAGGGCCAGACAGCAGGCTGGTCTTGAAGGGGGATGACATGCTGTGGAAACCGTCCCATCCTGGGAAGCCTAGCATGCAGCTGGGGCAGGGTCATAGAGACAAGGGAGCAGCAACCCTGGTGCCAGAAGGTCAGAGGGATGGTCCCTGATAGGAGGGGCACTGGCAGGGGCTGGCATGTGGCAGTCCGGCCCCTACTTCTGTACCTGCTCACCTCCTCCTAGTCTCAAACCCTCCCTCATTTCCCTTAACCTAGAGAAAAGTCAGAGCATTAGATTGCTCTCTTCTAATCCTCAAGGTCCTGCCCCACTGTCCTCCATGCCTCAGACCCACGGTCCTCGGGAATGACCCTCCATGGGCCAGCCACCTGGGGCAGGAATAGTCTTAGGCCCAGCGAGCTCCGGACCCGAGGGCAGAAAAGAGTTAGGGCTCCCTCTGTCGACCTGAGGAGTGGTAGCTGCCAAGGTCACTCCTGTTGGAAGGGCTCCCTGCTGTGTGTGTGTGTGTGTGTGTGTGTGTGTGTGTACAAGTGCCTGCACAGGCGCACGTGTGGGGGTCAGCAGGGCCAGGAGACCCTCTCCCTTGTCAGCCTCTGTCTATTCTCCGCTCACCTCTGTCCTGAGCAGAGGCTGGCTCTGTGTCCAGCCCCCTCCTCCTGGAAAGGTCCCAGTCTTCCCAAGGCCAGCTGAAGGGGAGGCCCTCCTTGTGGCCTGCCTGCCCCCTGCCCCCAATACAGGGCTGGGATGAGAGAACAGGCAACAGTGACCCAGTGAATGTGAGTCCTTGCCCAGGTGAGCTTCCTCAGCACCACTTGACCAGGTAGGCCCACCTTACCTCTCAAAGTCCAGGAGTTCTCAGCTCTTCCCAGGGGGCACATTCATTCACAACAGGGGGTTCTGGCAAGGGGTTCCAGGCCCCAGACCCCTATTTCTTAGCTCCCTTCCCCAGCAAGGTCACTGGTGCCAGAGATCCTGAGCGGACTCTGGTCCTGCCACCTGCCCCCTCTCCCAGGCATGTGCACCAGGCTTCTCTGCTCCCGTCTGTCTCACTCCAGTGCCTCCTGGCCCCACCCCGCGTACCAACATGCTGGGAGGGGGAGCATCAGGAGTGCCCCCCATCCTGTCTAAATATTAACTCCTGGAGAGGTTGAGCCACAGCACCAAGAGGCCTCTGAGGCCCTTTACCTCTGAGGCCCTTTTCTCCAAAGATCCAGGCCCAGGAGAGGAAAAGGAAGGGACCTTTTTCACCAGAGGCTGGAAGCCACATCTTCTTCCCTCTGGGTGTTGGACTCTGGGCCTCCACTTTCCCAGACCTTAGTCCCCAGAATGCTGCCTGCAGATGATTCCATCTGTCACTCCCCTTCTCAAAGCCTTCCTGTTTCTCCACCCCGCCACTGTACCAAGACCAAACTGCATGACTTGACTCACCCATTGCCTGCCATCTCTCTATGCACTTTCAGTTCCAGCCAAACTGATCAATCTTTCACCTTCCCCTGAATGTGCCTCACATTTTCATACCTCTAAGCCTTCCTCCCAGTGCTGTTTCCCCTCTCCATATTCCCACCTTGTGCATCTTCTCTCCAATGAGATAGTGCCAATCCCAGCTATACCACTGCATCCTCCCAGGTGCCCCAACCCCACACTCTCTCCCACCTCAGCACCCACAGGACAGTGGACTAGAGAATATTGCACTCCTGGTGTTGAAGATAGCAAGAGTCTGGACCATAGTGCTCACTGGCTGTGCCACCGTGGATGGTTGGAGATCTCTAAATGTGAGATTGCCCACATGGACACATGGGAAAAAACTTCCTGCCCTAAATCAGGGTGCAGTGGTGCATACCTGTAATCCCAGTGACTCAGGAGGCTGATGCAAATTCGAGGCCTAGCCTCCCTCGGCAATTTAGGGAAAACCTATTTCAAAATAAGAAATGTAAAAGGACTGGGATGGAGCTTATTGATAAAGCACCCCTGGTTCAATCCTGCCAAAATAAAAATATTATAACAGAGATTTCCAAAAGTCTATGTGTTTGGGCTGGGATATGTAGCTCAATGTTGGATTGCTTGCCTCACTCGTGCAAGGCACTGGGTTTGATACTCAGTACCACATAAAAGTAAATAAATAAAATAAAGGTATTGTGTCCATTTACAACTAAAAAATAGAAAGAAAGAAAACCTCACATAAAAAAAAAATAGGCTGGGCACAGTGGCACATGCCTGTAATCCCAGCAGCTCCAGAGGCTGAGACAGGAGGATCACGAGTTCAAAGCCAGCTTCAACAACTGTGAGGTGCCAGGCAATTCAATGAGACCCTGTCTCTAAATAAAATACAAAATAGGGCTGAGAATGTGGCTCAGTGGTCTAGTGTCCCTGAGTTCACTACCCATACCCAGTACGAAAAAAAAAAAGTCTATGAGTTTACCCTTCCAATTAAATTTGAAGTGCCTTGAGAGTTCCCTGTTGTCCATCTTTTAAAATTACTTGAAGGATTAGCACAGAGCTTGAGAACTGTATGGAAGAAGTAAGTATTACAGAAACTGCTGAAGACTCCTCACACCTGAGTTGCACCTTGAGGAACAGCTAGGTGCCGGGCAATGACTTCTTTCTGGGGCCTCATTTGGATGATCCCCTCAATATACATTCCCCCTGTGATTTGTCCTGGGCTGGGCACAAGCAGTGGGTGGGTGTGGCAACACTATTTTTTACCTCTGAGGTCCTTTTCTCCAGCAGAACCATCATACAAACATACATAATGACGATGCGGGATGAGCTATGTGATATGTGCCAAAGGCAAAGGTAAGTGATTGGCAAGAGAGACCAGCAGCAGCAGAGCCAGAGAGGGTCAAAGACCTGTGGAGCAGGGGAGGCCACTAGTCTCCAGGTGAGCGAGCATGTTGGAGAAGGGCCTGTCAGGCAGCAGGAATTTTTATTTATTTATTTATTTGGTACCAGGGATTGAACCCAGGGGTGCTCAACCACTGAGCCACATCCCCAGCCCTTTAATTAATTAATTAATTAATTATATTTTTAAAATATTTATTCTCCAGTTTTCGGTGGACACAACATCTTTATCTTATTTCTATGTGGTGCTGAGGATTGAACCCAGCACCCCATGCATGCCAGGCGAGCGCGCTACCGCTTGAGCCACATCCCCAGCCCCCCAGCCCTTTTATTTTGAGACAGGGTCTTTTTAAGTTGTTTAGGGCCTAAGTTTCTGAGGCTGGTTTTGAATTTGTGATCCTCCTGCCTCAACCTCCCAAGTCGCTGGGATTACAGGCATGTGCCATGGCGCCCAGCAGCAGGAACTCTCAGAACGCCTGGTGCGCAATGTTCTCTGCTCCCCTGCCAGTCCAGGGGTTGCTCATAGCAAAGATGGAGACAGTGCACTTCGTGATGGCAAGAGTTCCTGTTTTAATGGCATTTCTGGAAGGGGATGTACTAAAGGAGAGGGCGGGGCAGGGAGACTGGATAGCCCTGGACAAGAGTCTTAAAAGCCACACCAGGAGTTTGCTGGTGAGGGGCCTGCACAGAGCTGGTGTGTGGTACTCCGGGTTGGCAGAGCCACCTGTGCAGTGGATGCAGCTGGGGCAGGCACCACTAGGAAACCCCTGCAGTAATGTAGACAGAGTCAAGGGAGGCCTGCAACAGAGCAGAATTCCAGAGTCTGGGAGAGAAATCAGTCCTGCACAAGGGGTTGAGGGTGTGGAGATGGCTAGCAAGAGACAGCATACAGGAGAGAACACAGAAGAAATCCTAGAACTGCTTCTACAGGAGGAGCCAGGCAAGAGCAGGCTGGGGGAAGCAGTTCAAGAAGCGGTCCTCCTCTGGAAGGACTGAAGCAAGGCTTTTAGTTTGGTGAATAGGAGGCTACTGGCCATTGGAGGGAACATAAGTAAAACCAGCTTTTGTAGCCTCTTGCTCTGGCTCCCTTCCACCTCATCTGGCTTTTTGGAGGACAGGGTGGAGGAGAGATCAATAGAAAGGCTATTCTTAGGCTGAGGGTCTCAGTAAACTTAAACAGGTGCAGGATTTGAGGCATACTTCTGCAGTCGCCCTCTACCTTGTCACTTCCTCCCCTTGATGGGTTCATCTTGCCCCAATAGCAATGGGCCATTAGTAATCAGCCCCCTGGGGCCACCCCTTGCTCACTCTTGCTTAGAACCTTCAGGAACAGGAAACAACCAGGGTTGCTGAAGCCAGGTGTGGTCCTTGGTCCTGGGGAAGCATCTTTCCCATCAGTACATAAGCATATTAACTCCCTTCTGAAGTTCCCAGATTCTTAGAGACCCATTCTTTTGGCTTCCTACCCCCTCCCCCATGGTACTGGGGATTGAACCCAGAACATTTTGCCACTGAGCATCCCTGCCCTGCCTCCCTCTTTGAGACAGGGGCTAAATTGTTGAGGCTGGCCTCAAACTTGCAAATCCTCCAGCCTCAGCCTTCTGAGTCACTGGGATTTCGGGCATGCGCCACCGTGCCTGACTTGGTGGCAGGTTCTCCTTTTTTTAAAGCATCTTTTATGAGGAAGCAATGAACTGAGCAGACTTCCCCAGGGTGTGAAGGGTTGCCTGGGGTAGGGCACCTGGATCCTGGGCAGAGGCACTAAGAAATGTGGTGGTGAGAAAATTCAGAGCCCAGTCAGGGACCAGAGGCCAGAGCAGGCATCAGACACCCAGGCCAGGGCCTGGCTGGAGGTGAAGACACTACCTGAGATGCACAGGCCTCTGAAACTGCCCTCCCTTATCCTTCCCCATTCCTGGTCCCTGCGTGCCAGGTCTCACCTCAAAAAGCAAGAAAGGAAACAGTGAGGGCTTTCTGGAGCCGGCCCCCAGAGGCCTGTCTGTGCTGGGGAGGTCAAAGAGAGCCAGGGAGGGGCCAGAAAAAGGCTGAGAAGAAAGCTCAGGCAAGACAAAGAGCCCCGTCCACCTTTGAAGCCGTCTCTAACCCGAGCAAGGGGGTGGGGGATGGGGGTGGGCCAAAGGCCCGGCTGGGGGGAGGCCGTCTAAAGTCTTAAAGAATGTCTCAAATTCCTGCGGAAATCAGAGTGATTGTAAGAGTCCCCACTCCCCAACACACCTCCTTCCAGGCCCCCCCCCCCCCCCCCGCTCCCCAAAGTCCAGTCCTCCACACCTGGGGGGCCCAATCCTTTGTCCTCAAGTAATTGCTGGGTGTTGCCCCAGTTTTTAAAGTCCCATTGAACTCGCCAGTTATCAGCTGCGCTCCAGACCACCCGCCCTACACACCCCAGAAAACGACCCCCAACACAGCCCACGGTCTTCACCAGGATTAAGATTCTTTGTGATGGGGGGAGAGGAAAAAAAGCAACCTGGTGAAAAGCAATTATGACAAACTGCAAGGAGAATGTCTGTCCTGAGGCCTGGGGACCTCCCTCTCGGCTGCTGCGGTCCCCACCTTCTAAATGGCCCCGGGTTGGGGTCAGGCTGGGCTCCTGCCCTCGCCGTCCACCTGGACTGCGGCTGCCACCTCCCTTTCCCTCCTCTCGCCTTATTTGAGGCCAAAGGGACCGGTGGGAAGAAGGGATGGCTTTCATCCTTTTTCTCCTCTTTCCCTAATCCTTCTGCCCAACTTTTTCTCAGTACAGTGAAGGGACGGGGCGGGTGGGGGGGAGGGAAACTGAGGCCGGGGGATTCTGCAGCCGAGGAGAGTCCGCGGCGGGGCCGGGGGGCAGCTAGGAAGCCCCGCCCCCTAACAAGATTAAAAGCCAGCGCACAAGCAAAGAGGCGGCTTTTATGGCCTGGAGCCGCAGCCCCGGGCACACCTGGAGGCCTCTGGGAAAGCCCACCCCCGGAGCGCCGTGGGGGCAGGGCCTCCCGCCTCCCCGGGGCCATCCGGACCGAGCCCGCCGCCGCCGCCGCCTCTAATTGAGATTTACCCTCAGGTGTGGCCCCCGCCCCCACCCCAGCGGGGACCTGGGAGAACAAGAGGACACATTCTCGCCCCCACCCCCCTTCCGCTCGTCCAGCCCTCCACCCCGCCCGGCCCTCCTCACCGGAAGAAAGCAATCTCGCTCCCCGCGACGCGGCTGGGGCGTCCGCGCGCCGCCGGCCTCGCTCCTGCCGGCCCCGCCAGCCCCGCGCCGGTGCCTCGGGCCTGGGCCCCCTGGACACCCGGCCCCTCGGCCCCGGCCCCACCAAGGGATTGGGTTCTTTCCGCCCCAACAGGTAGCACGGGACGCACCGTGCGAGCCGAGGACACCGGAGCCCGCAGAGGGAGTGGCCGCCCGGTCCCCGGGGCCTGGGCACGCCCTGGGCCGCCGGCCTCCTGCCGCACGGCCCCCCGCCCCTGCCGGGCGTGCGGCCAGTGGCCCCTGCACCTGCCGCCCATCCCCTCGGCCAGCGCCAGGCGCTTCTCTGTGCCGCGTGCAGCAGCCAGCTTGATTCCAGTCCACCCCACTCCAGAAAACCCGTTTGCAGGAAAATGGTTTTATTCTGGGGTTTCGGGGTGGGGGTGCAGGCCTGGGTCATGGAGAGTGAGGAATGGCCGGCCCTTTTTCTCCTTTTTTTTTTTTTTTTTTTTAATGAACAAAACCAAAAGTCCCTTCCTACTCTCTGGCCAAGAGGATCTTGGGCGCTGGGGACAGACTGAGGGGGATTTGGGGAACAAGATTTGAAGCCAGCCGCCTCCACCCGGGTTGCCTGTGCAAGGCCTCACATTTCTGACCTGTCCGCTTGTTTCAGGCCACTGCTGGGAGGCTGGCTCTGCGATCACGGTGACACACTAGTTCCTCTCCTGGGATCTGCCCTTGGCCCAGAAAGGAGCCTATTTCAGTGTGTGGCGCCAGCCCATGGGAGCAACAGTCCTGTCCCTTCCCAGCTGGGGGCACTGATGCTTCGGGTCCTCAGGGTCCTCCTTGGGGCTCTGGTTCCCCTCCCTCCATCCCAGCCCAGTCTTTGGATTAGGAAGGGAAGGGGGTGGGAAGGCTGCTGAGGGGCAGCTGTTCCCGCCTCCCTCCCTACGTGAGGGGCTGGGGCCTCCTAGTGCGCTTGGTCCTGCGGGTGGGGGCTGAGCCCACAAACTCGAACTGCTTCTGCCTCTCAGCATGGTTGGGGAAGGGCAGCTGGCCCTGGTAGAGGCGCTTGATGAAGTGGGCCTCTCGCTGGTTCTGGCGGCTGCGGGAGGCCTGGCGGGGCCGGCCCTGCCTGGTGAAGGCCATGAACCAGCCCTCATGCCGGGCATTCTGGAAGGCTGTGTAGTTGTTCTCCAGGACGATCTCAGTGAACACGCAGTCTTTGCTCTTCCCGCTGGGCTGTGGAGAAGGGAGAAGGAGAATTTGTCCACCCAGCCCCAGAGGGCTTATCTGCCTTTGGACCTATTTTGTAGGTCCCTTATTCCCAGGAGGGAGCTGCCTAGTGACACGGGCATCTTTGCTAGTAAGGCAAAATGAATAAGCTTGGAGTCAGAGCTGGATTTAGATACAGGCTTGTTACTTGGCAGTTGAGGTGTTTAGCCATTGAGGCTCAGTTTCCTGACGTGACATAAAGATCAAGGTAATGTGTTCCCTGGGGCACTTGGTACATGAAAAACGCTCATTCAATCTGGGTGAGGGGTGCTGCTGAGTTGAGAGAGGGAGGCAAGAGTCTCTGACAAAAAAGAAAGAAGGATCAGGATGCAGTGGTACATGCGTATAATCCCAGCAATTTGGGAGGCTGAGGCAGGAGGATCACAATTTAGTGAGACTCTGTCTCACTAAATTGCTGAGGGGAAAAAAAAATAAAAGGCTGGGATATAGCTCAGAGGCAAAGCACCTCTAGGTTCAATCCCTAGGTCCTTCTCCCTGCCCCCTAAGAAAAGAAAGAAGGGAAGAAGAGTGTCGGACACAACAGCCCCACTTGACCCTATGGACCCCATGCCCTATGCTCCTTTCTCAGACAACATGCCTGAGGTTATTTGGTGAGCAGCAGCTAGAATTGGAAGCCAGGAGTGCCCAGTTCCAAAGGAAATGTAATCCTCTTTACCGACAAGCTGGATGGACCCCACTAAGGAAGGGTTCATTGCCCAGTATTTAGTGTGCATCTTGCTAGCTGGAGCCTACTGAACTTGGGGGACCCACTGAACTTGGGGGAGCTTCTGTCTTCTATGTGCCCCAACTTTCAACCCTCATGAGCCCTTAGCCCTTCATACAGGGACATGGGGGTATTAACACTCTTACTGATCGCTGCTGGGGAAAGGCACCTTATAACAGAGCCAGGGGTCCTTGTGGGTCAGGGGTCCCCTCAGAAGGCTAAGAGAGCCATTGAAAGAGAAACAGGGAGGCACAGTAGGTGTGCTGAGAGGACAGTAAGAAGTCACAGTTCCACTGAGGTCCCTGTCTTGCTCCTGTGGGTGGGCTCCGCAGGGCAGGCCCCTCGCGCGCAGGCCTCACCTTCCCGATGAGCTTGCCCCTCTTGTTCATACAGATGTACTTCTCACTCTCCGCCCCCTTGATGCGCACCCGGCTGCCGAATGTGTCTGTCTCCACTATGAGCTTGGCTGTGATGGGGGAGGAGAGAAAGGCCTCAGTCACAGGGCTGCCAGCCAGGGGTGCAGAAAGGATCCCCAACCAGTCTGCCCTCCAAACTCAGGCAGGTGAGAGGGATTGAGAACTGTCAGGCCCTGGGGCCCTCCCGCTGTGGCCTTAGCCCTGGCACAGGCTCTGGGGATGGGCTGGGAGGCCAGGCCTGCAGCCGAGGGCCAGGTCTCACCAAACTTGTTGCCGTCCTCAGCGGTGGCGGAGATGCGACGTCCGGTGACCTGCACGTGCTTGCCACTGGTCCGGCTGTAGAGCTGGTACTCACGGATCTGCCGCCTGCTCAGCTGGTCGGTCATGGCACCCTGGTCCCTCACGTACTGGTTAAAATTAGGAGACGGGTGATTCTCCCCCTTTGCGGTTACCAAGGGAAAAATAGTGTCAATTTGCTTTGGATGACACCACCACTGGTCCATCGGGGAGAGGGGTGTTTAGGTGAGTGCAGTGGGGGCAGGCCCTGTGTCCTGCAGAGTAGAAGGTGCAAGGTGAAGTTGGCATGGGGCCATGACCTACCCAGGCTGCTGGGTGAGACAGTCATGGCCTCTTGGTTGCATCCACCTTAAGGCAGGAGCCTTGTGTCTGCCCAGGCTTGGGGGACACAGTGATACAGCATAACTTGGGAAGCTGGAAAGGATCTTCAAGGCTATGGTGTCCCTTCCCATGTTGTGTGGAGGATGTGCACAGAGACACACAGCTCACCTGAGACAGACCCTGTTTTCCTACCTCTGGGATCTTGGATCCATTAGCCAGAGCTACCTGATTTCTCCTTTATCCTCCCCACACACTTTGAAAGATCCCTGCCCTAGTGCCTGTGCACAGAGCAGATGGTTTATTAGGTGCTTTGAGTTAGGGTCACTGGAGAATATTTTGGGATCTCTTATGCCCTTATCTTTATCTAGGGCTCCGTCAGCCCTATAAGCTGCCTTTCCAGATCCTGCCCCCCTGTGTCTTCCCCAAGTACATGGGGCCCTCTGGGCAGTTGGTTCCCCTTCCTGCGGTGCTCACTTCACTGTGGGCTCTGTGGGTCTAATACCTCCCTCACGGGAAGTGCTATCAGTGGGATTCAATGGCTGCTTTCACAGGCTGCCTGCCTGCTGGTGCCACAATGTGACCTCTGGTGCCATAGTGTAATTGAGGCTCCCCAGGCAGGTAGAAGGTATTGCCACCATCAGCCTGCTCTCCTTCCCAGGGCCAGGAGAGGAGCTATTTCCACCCAAGCATACTACCACCATCATCTCCACGCTGGAGCTGCCCTTACCGCTCTGTAACATTGAGTCGGGGAGAAACAGATCACTTCCTGCCATCCTATTAGGTGCCCGTCAGGAGGACAGTTCCTATCCATTGGAGATCGCCTTAGCTCTAGCATGAAGATGCACCTCACTTGTTTCTCTATCTGGATACTATTGGCCATTTGGGGGACAGCCTTGCCCTGCCCAGAATTCCTAATTTCCTCCTCTTTTTTTTTTTTTTTTTGATACTGAGAATTGAACCCAGAAGTGGTTTACCTCTGAGCTGGACCCTCAGCCTGCTGTGCCTTAATTTTGTTTTGAGGCAGGGTCTTGCTAAGTTGCCCAGGCTGGCCCTGAACTTGTGATCTTCCTGTCTCCTGTCTCAGGGCCTTGAGTAGCTGGTATCACAGGTGTGTGCCACTGAGCCTGGCCCTAATTCCATCTTTATACCAGGCCTGATCCCAACCATCTGGACAGAGCTAGACACAACTGGGCATCCGTTAGGGGCCACTGTCGCCTAGGGAGAGGGGTGGCAAATATCAGCTCTGAGGAGGGAGAGATGAAGAAGCAGCTCTGAGGCCAAAGGTTTAACCTGCCCTGGGTTAATCCTTCTGATGCGTCACTGCCCATTGTCATCGCCAGGCTCCCTAGGCAGACTCCAGGTAGTTCTCCAATTTGGGGAGCTACCCTGAATCCCACCCTGGAAAAACCTGAGGTGAGAATTTGGGGTGGGGGAATCTGCCAGTCTGCCCCTCCCTGCTTCCCTGCCAGGGGTGGGGTCCCTGACTGTCCCAGCCTGAGCCTCCTGGCCCAGGTTCAGGCTGTCCGCCCCTCTTGGCGGGCAGCCTCCTCCTGGCAGTCTGTTCCAGGTCAGGGGCAGAGAGGGCCCCCCAAAGCCCCCTCCTCTCCCCATTCCCCTTCAAGCCTTTCACAAAAGCAGCCCACGCCCCCCCACAGCCCACAGCCCACAAGTCCCTCTCCCCGCGGGACCTTGCCTGTCCCTTTCATGTTCCCGCTGCGGGGGGACCTCCCCTTCCACAGCCGCAGACAGCTGCTTGTCAGCCGGCCCCTCAAGCATGGCTGTGGTTCAGCCTGCCGCCCCCCTTCACAGGGGGGTGAGGGGGCACTTCAAGGGGGAAAGGACAGCCTTGCCACCTTCCCCGCGTCCTGAATGGGGCCTCAGCCAGGCCATAAACGCCCCGGCCAGCCGCACCATTGTGCTAATTCCCCTTCCAGAACAGGTTGGGCCACCCCCAGCCCCCTCCCGGCCAGGCTGGGGGCTTTCTTCTTGCTCTCCCTGGATGTGTGAAGCAAAAGGCCTGGAACGGGGCTACAGCAAAAGGGGGAAGGAAAAGGGGGGGCGTTGTCTCTCTCTCCCACCCCCCCACTGCTTCAAAGGCAGCCCAGTCCCTTCCCAGAGAAAAGGCATTTACCTTCAAAAAAAGTCCCCACTGGATAGGAAGAGAAGCCGGCCTCTGGCCTGGGAAAGCCAGGCGGTCTCTCCCCAGAGCGGTTCTGGACCAGTGCATTTTAATAGCTGCACTTTTATGGAGGATCACAAAAAAAGGACGAGCCATGCACAGGGGGCTGAGGCTTGGGGGTGGGAGGTGTGCGTGGTGGGGGGGTGGAGGGCAGACTTGGGGTGGGGGGAATGTGAAGAAGCAAACCCTGAATTCCATCCCAAACAAATCTTTGGGCTTGACCTCGTTGCCCTATAGGTAGGGAGTTGCCCCACCCCGGCTGGGCATTCCCACTGTGCCCACGGACCCCGCTGGACATCTGTGGAGGTGGGAGGGGGGAAATGGGGGATCATACAAGTGGATTTGCATCAAAACCTGTCCTTTCAGGTGCTTGCAGGCTCAAGCCTCACCTGTGCCATGACTGTCCCCTCCCCTCAACTGCTCCTGGGCTCCATCCCTGGAGTCTTGAGAGCATGTACACTTAGCCTTTGGGGGAGCCCAGTGCAGAGGGATGGACAGAGAGGCAGAGACTCAAGGGGAGCAGCGAGGGTCCTCAGAGGGAGACCTCAGATTAAAACCTCCCTATCTATCCCCAAGGCTTTCCTAGTCCCCTTTCCAGTCATCCCCCAAAAGCTGATCCCCCAAACCTCAGCACCTTCTAGATGCTGGAGAGGCCAGAGCCTGCCTGTACCAGAGGCTCAGAGACCTCCTTCTCCCTCTCTTAGGTGCGGTGGGGGAGCTGGGGAGTGGGGGCGCCTACCTGCGTTTGACAGCAGAGAATCAATAGCTGCAAGCACCTGTGAAGGGGACAAGGCAGACCCAAGTGTGGGTGCCAGTGGCAAGCCCAGGGGTGCACCCAGGCCCCCCCAGCCCCCCATCCCTGCCGTGCTCCACCTGCCCCCACCCTGCTCCACCTGGCCCAGCCCACCCAAATAGGAGTCGGGGAGACAGGTCTGCCCCGGGGCTGGAAATGGCAATAGGAGTCCAGTCCCAGGCAGCGCACTTACAGAGTGAGGTTGGGCAGCAGGCGGGCGGCTCCCATCGCTGGAGAGACTTCTTGGGGCGGTCACCCCCCCTGCCCCCAAACTCAGGAGCAGATGTGGGCAGGCCCCAGGGGTAGTCCCAGAGAAGTCAAGGTCTCTCGGAGCCACAGGTTTTCAGGGGGAAGAAGAGAGAGAAGGGAGGAGGAGGGAGAGGAGGGGGAGGAGGGGAGGAGGGCGTAATTGGGAGACTGAGGTGTGAGGTGTCCACCTTCCCCGCCAGTGAGGCTGCAAAGCCGGCGCTGGTGGGGGCTCCCCAGCTCGCGCCCTCTGGGCTGCCAGCCCCGGGCTGGGTTACCCAGGCGCAGGGATGGAGCTGCGGGAGCCTTCTCGATTGGGAGGCTGGCCCCTGCAGTCAGTCTCCTGCTTTATTCCTGACCCTTCGGACCTGCCTTACTCGGTGCGGTGCTGGGCGTGTGGCAGGCAGGGGAGGGAGGGCGCCTTCCCCTCTTAGGGTCAGCTGCTCCTGCCCTCAGGTTTGGTGCCCCATCTCCCCGAGGGTGAGGGGCAGGTACTGAGCTGGGACTGGGGTCGCGGGTTCTGGCTCAGGGTGAGAATTCCCAGAAGCAGCCTTAAAAGGAGGAGCCTCCCTCCAGGGGGCAGGGGTGGGCTTGGCTTGAGCAGCCGCTGGCGCTGTCTCTCGTCACCCCTAGCCACTGGGAAGGAGGGGTTAAGGCCATCCAACCCTAGCAAATACTGGGTGCAATGGGTTGGGCTGGAGGTGGAGGGTCTTGCAAGGACCCGAATGGAGTCACAAAAGCTGGCCTGAGATGGAGAAGAGCAGGGTACATTGACCTGAGCCACTTTTCAGGGGGACTCTGCAGTCTTCTCTGAGAAATGGGGATAACAATGCCTCAGGGTGTTGGGGGACCAAATGAGAGAGCAGCATTTAGGAGACTTCAAAATCTATAAAACATTCTGAACCTTACTCTTGGCCCGAAAACCAGCCCCATTTACTCTCCCCAGCCGCTCAGGCCCCCACCCAACCTCGAGGTCCCTAGCACTGCGGGGCTGACCTCCAGGCTCTCAGCGCTGTGCTGGGCCAGCTCACGTTTCACACCCACATTTACAGATGGGAAAACTGAGGTACATTGGGAGGTCACTTGCTCAAAATGAGCCAGCCAGTGGGTGGAGTGACCAGGTGAGTCCATGAATCCTCTCCTCTGATTGTGGGCTGTGCCCTCCAGAGCCCCAACCCCATAGGGCTTCCTTGTAGGGGCTCAGAAGCCTTTCTGTGTTTTAAGATGACAGGGAGGTCCTGAAAGCTGATGGCCAGGGAGCTCTGTGCTGTCTCCTCCCTACAGAAAGGGGATGTTGGTGACAGTGGGAGTGGGGAGTGCAGGAGGGGGTCTCGGAGAGAAGCCCAGGTCTCAGCTCTGACTCCCTGGAGTTCTTGGTGCCCTGGGAAGGGAAAAGGGAAATGCCAGGTGTGGGTTCATTTACCTAAGGAGCTGACTTTTAGGGCGAAACTCTCACCTCCAGGTTCCTCTCACCTTTCTGAGCTGCAGCAATCCACAAAGTGGTCTGCCACCCTGGCCACACACACAAACAAGCCAAGCAGCCCCCTCCAGGGCTCCGTCCAGCTCCAGCAGGGGGCTGTCCAGCTCCGCCCTCCCCCGGCTTAAGCCCCAAGCAGGGGGCCCAGGAGTAAGTTGCCTGAACTGGTTTAAGGAGGGTGGAGGCTCAAGTAACCTGGGGAATCCAGGGCTTTGGGATCAGATTCAAATGGCATCAAAACTGGAAGCGATTTTAGAGCTTCATGATCTAGTTCAACCGATCATTCCACAGGTGAGAGTCAGAGTGGGTTGGTGTCTCACTGCTGGCGTGGCAGGGCACGACAAAAGGCCAGATGCTCACATCCTAGCACAGTGCCTGCTGTTCCCTGACCACACCCCAGCCCGCCCCGCCTCTCGCCCCCTGCTGAGCCATCCTCTGCACTCCTCTTCCACATTCTTCCCATTACTCCAGGCCTGTTTCAGTCTCTGCCTCTTCCAGGAACCTCCCCCAGTGTCTCTCCCCATCAGATTCTGTCTTGATCCCTTGGGGAACCTCTGCCTTCATGCCCAAACCCACCAGCTCCCAGAGAGGGTGTTAGAGGCCACCTCCAGCCAACCTCCAATCCAGGGGTCAGGTGGGGTCGCAGGCACAGATTCCCAGGGCTCAGGTCCTGGTGCTCCGCTGGTAGAGGAAGGGGAGTCGACCTTATGCCCTCAGGGTTCATTCCCCCAGGGGACAGTGGGATTTGTTCAAGGCCTCTAAGCCTGAGCTCCAGGTTCTTGTGGGTGGGGACAGGGTCTGCCATTACTGGCCCAATCTCAGCCCAGGTCTCCATGGTGACAGATGCCAGCAGTCAAGATCGGCTTTGGGGCTCAGCCGGAGGCTGGTGCCAGGGGGCTCTGGGGCATGGCAGAGTAGCCTGCTTCCTGGGTGAGATCTCTTTGTCTCCTTGTCCTGTCCATTTGGCATTAGGAGGCCTGGCTTCTGGTTCAATTTGCTCCTTTGCCCCCAGGGGAGAGTCAGTGGTGTGCCCCAGGTGGGGAGCCACAAGGGCTGGGGTGCTGTAGGCAGGGACCTGGGTCTTTTCCCATCCCCTTGCTTGGCCTTCACAGCTGTGTGACCATGTCAAGTCCCTTTCCTTCTCTGGTCTCAGGTTCCCAGTTCATAAAAGGAAATGGCCACTACTAATGTTGTCAGAACTGCCACCAGGAAGGTCAGCTGAGATTTGTGATCATTTTTCAGATGACTGAAAAGTCTGAAGTGCTGCAAGAACAGGGGAAGGGGGCGGTGACCCTCGTGGCTCAACCTCAGTTTACCTACACTTTGTTCGACTTTGTCCTTCACTGGAGCTGGGGGAAAGGATGAGGGGAGAAGGGTACAGCTCATTAGCATTGGTGGTGGGGGGGCTTACAGGAGGTGATAAGGGAAGTGAGAAGTAGCCTGGCTGCACAGCTAATCTCCACCCCCTAGTGCCAAGTTCAACACCCCCAACTGGGGCCGTCTAGCGCCTGCTCCTCCCAACAGCCAGCTGCTGCAAACACGAGCCCACCTGCATATCTGCCACTTGTCAGCGCCTGCTTCAGCCCCAGCTCACCCTTTTCCTGTTGAAAGCGGGAGGGTTAGGGCAGGGGAAGGGAGAAGGGCAAAGGGCGCCCTAGGAATGCAGACTGACCCCCATTTGCCAGTTGATACCTACTGTGTGTCTGCAAATAAAAATCAGATGCTCGCTGGTTATCTGTTCAGAGCCCTCCTGTGAGGATCCCCAGGGCTCTCGCCTGGGACTGGGGGAAGGGAGCTGGGGGAAGGGAGGAAGTCCCTGCTACATACCTTCAACTATGAAGAAACTCAGCCATCTGCTAGACTGTCCTTTGGACTCAATTCTTTTTTGGTGGGATGGCTACTGGGACTTAATTTTTTTGGGGGGGTACTGGGGATTGGACCCAGGGGTACTTTACAACTGAGCCACATCCCCAGCCCTTTTTATTTTTTGTTTTGAGATAAAGTCTAAGTTGCTTAGGGTCTTACTAAGTTGGTGAGGCTAGCCTCTAACTTTCGATTCTCTTGCCTCAGCCTCCCAAGTCTCTGGGATTACAGTTGTGTGCCACAGTATCTGGGTGGACTTAACTAATTCCTGTCCTCAGTTTCTGAAGTTCCTCACATACTTCCTAACCAAATGGCCCTTCCTACCATGGAAATTAACCTATTTACTTCCTTCAAAGCATTGAATGGTAATTGAAATTACAGTGTTGACTTTTGTTTTCCACTATATCAGAGGCGACTTGAGGGTAAGGAATTGGTTTTATCCATCCTGTATGGCTGTGGCCAAAACCAGGCTCAGTGAACACTAGCTGCCTACCAAGGGCCCGAGGAGCTGACCAGAGTCCCAAGCCTTTTGCTGACTTTCCCATGCAGGTGTTCAAGGACCTGACCTCCTGGGACCTGCACCTGGGGCTCCCGGGCAGCTCTCTGCTGCCTTGCTTTAGGCCTGGCCCACGGCATGCTGGGAGAAACCCTGCAAGTGCAGTCCCTAGAGGAGAGCCACCTGCATGCCTGCCTGTATCAGGAGCTAAGCCAGGGTCAGTAACCCAAAGCCACTGTAGCAGGCCTGGAAAAGGCAGGAGGACAGGGCCATGCAGTGGTCATTCAGGCCACTTCCCTGCTGTCTATTGGCTTCACTCCAACACTTTCTGGGCCTTGTTCAAGTGGCCCATGGGGCTCAGCACCCTCCCAGAAGAAGGCCGAGAGAGTAAGGCCCCCTGAGCTGCTCCCCCCACTCCCGTGGGTGCTCTGTACATTTGACGGCTGCCTGACAGGAGGAGGGCAGGGGGAAGAAGGGAGCTGGGGCCCTGGGGACAGGCCCTTCTTGGTAGCACAAGCAGGTAAATCCTGAAGCTCTGGGCAGCTGGCAGGCTGAGGGCCTGGCCCCAGTGCCCTGGGCACCCTCAGGGCCCATGTGCTGCTCGAGGCTGCCCTCTACTGGGTACATGGACAGCTGTAGTCGGCGAGCCTGCCCCAGGAAAGAGGAGAGAGGTCCTGACAAAGCAAACTTTATTGTGGCCCTGTGCTCTCGGGCTCTTCTCTCCAGGGCCTCTTGAGACCGCAGGGTTCAGGGTGCGAGGCTCCTGTGGGGCCCTCACAATACCCTGTCACATTGAGGCTCAGGTGAAGGGAGCTGGTAGGGGGACATCTGCACCCAGAGCACAGAGGGAGGAAGACCCTCTGTGCGGTGGGCTTGAGGCCCTTCTTCCGTCACTGGGGCGAGGCCATCCTGGCTCCTCACTTCTTGGAACCCAGCTTCTTAGATCTGACTGTGGGTTTGGCCTGTGAAGATGAGGGAAAGCTCCCGTCTCCACTTTCTCCCCCAGCCTGGGCGGCCTCCCAGAACACAGAGGCTCCCCGGAGGCCAGCCTCACCTGCTGCCACTCACCTTTCTTACAGGGCTCTTCTCTGGAAGGCTGGACCTGGAATAGGGTGGGGTTGGCAAGAATTGGGGTCACAGGTGGGCAAGATAGCTCAGCCTGATGCCAGTAGCTTGGGTCCTCCTGAGCCTGAATGGTCCCAGGAGACAGGGGCCTGGGCCAGGGGAGGTGAAGCTACTGGGTCCATTGCACCCTGGCTGCCACCAGGGTCCTGCCTGTCCATTTTTATTTAAACAACCTTTTTTTTTTTTTTCTTCTGACAGCAGGGAAGTGGCCTGAATGACCATTGCATGGCCCTGTCCTCCTGCCTTTCCCAGGATAATATAAAAATATAAAAATAATTCTAACTGCATCACACATAAATAAAAGAATAGGGGTGGGGTTGTGGCTCGGTGGTAGAGTGCTCATCTAGCATGGGTGAGGCACTGGGTTCGATCCTCAGGACCACATGAAAATAAATAAATAAAAATAAAGGCATTGTTTCCACCTACAACTAAAAAATATTTTAAAAAATAAGAATAAGTTATTTATAATTTTCTTTACTTCCTACCAATAGTAACACTTCAGTGGACTTTTTTCTGTAAACTATTTCTAAAACTATGTGAAATAAAATAAAAATAGTTTGATATCTCTTCTTTTAACTATCAATAATTTCTCTTGTTATAAGCTTCAAAAGCATTATGTGGCTAGGCATGGTAGCGCATGTCTGTGATCCCAGCTACTTGGGAAGCTGAGATAGGAGAATCACAAGTTTGAAGCCAGTCTCAGCAACTTAGTGAGACCCCCCCCCCTTTTTTTGTGTGACCCTGTCTTAAGGAATAAAAAAGGGTTGGGGATGTGGCTCAGTGGTAAAAGATGCCTCTGGGTTCTGCCGCCAGTACTCTCAAATAAAATAAAAAAGGGATGTGGTGGAGCTCTGAGGTGGCAGAGTGCCTGTGGTTCACTCTCAGGACCAAAAGAAAAAAAAAGAGAAAGGGAAAGGGGGCGCATCATTTAGTTAACTTTTATGTTAGTACACATTTATAATGCTTGCATTTCTCACTACTTTTATTTTATTTTATTTTTGGACCTGGGATTGAACCCAGAGACACTTAACCACGGAGCCACATCCCAGCCCCTTTTTGTATTCTATTTAGAGACAGAGTCTCAGTGAGTTACTTAGGGCCCCCGCTAAGCAGCTGAGGCTGGCTTTGAACTTGCAATCCTCCTGCCTCAGCCTCCTGAGCTGCTAGGATTACAGCTATGTGCCACTATGCCTGGCTGCTTTTACTAGTATTTGAATAATGCCACGATGGTATTTGAATACTAGTATTTGAATCGTGCCATGTGTATAATTTCTCAATTTTTTAAAAAAAAATATTTATTTTTTAGTTGTAGTTGTACACAATACCTTTATTTCTATGTGGTGCTGAAGATGGAACCCAGGGCCTCGCACATGCTAGGCGAGCAGCGCTCTACCACTGAGCCCCAGCCCCCCACCCCCCATCTTGAACAGGATTCCTTGCAGGGGAAGAGAACACCTGCATGCCTTCGAGAGGGTTGTCCCTTCACTGCGCACACGCCTGCTGGGCCTGCTCTTTCCAGCACAACACGCCTCAGCCAACGACTTCTGGCGAATTTAATAGACGGAAAGAATTACCTTTCTGTCTCCTCTTCTTTGTCCAGCTTTTTTTTCTGGAAACCAAAACCAAGCATTACTAGAAGAGCCAGGGAAGGACCAAGGGCCGGAGCAGACTCCCAAGCCCCACATAGTCCCAGCTGAGCACCTGGCAGGACTCGGTGGCAGTAGCCTTGGCCTGTCCCACAGGCTCTCCTGGGAGCCTGTCCCACATGCTGGAGCCCAGTCCCTCCCAGGGCCTATGCAGGGTCCCACCTCAGTGAGAGCATCTATGCTCCTCCCCCACCTTGGCAACGCTGGTCTGCTTCTGCAGTGACGGCCGCTTGACTTGTTTGACAGGCGTGTCCTCTAGAGACACATCTGCCTCATCGTCATCCTCTTCCTCTTCTTCCTCCTCTTCCTCCTCCACCTCTTCCTCCTCCTCCTCCTCTTCTTCCCAGGGTAGGTCTGAAGTTTCTGTGATGGTGTGGGCAAAGGGGCAGGGGTGGGGGAATGGCGGAGCTTCTGAGCAGCTGGGTGACACCTGCCTCCTGTCCCAAGACTTGTGCCCCAAGTGTGGTCCTGAGGGGATCCTGCATGGAGCTGAAGGTATTAGCCTACCCACTGCCCAGGGCCTTTCTCCTCCACAAAGTGGGGGCCAGGGTGGGGCATGGGACCCTGGAAGCCCCCAGAAGGTGGGCATGGGAGAAAGAGGGCAAGGCAGGAGGACCACACACCATTAGGAAGGGGTGGGGGCGAACACGAAGGTGGGCAGAGAGGGCGAGCAGATTCCAGTGCTGGTGACATGGTCCCCAGCGTGGCACAGTTGAGGTGGTGGGATGGAGCAGAGCTGGGGCCCAGCGGAAGGTGATTAGGTCTTGGGGTTCCACCCTCACGAGTAGACTAATGCCCTTAGCCTAAGGGAGGTGGGAGATGCCAGAGGATTTTGGGGAGGAGAGTGCCCTGAGAGAGAGGCACAGCTGGACAGAGAATAGGCCAGTGGAAGGGGTCTCGAAGGGGACAACGTTATACGGAGCTGTTTCCTACACTGCACAGCTTCAAACTGAACCAGCAGCCAGGTCTGGGGTGGTCCTGTGTACAGGTGTTTTGCTAAGTGCTCCTTCTGACCACCTCATTTATTCTTGAAACTATTCTTCAAAGATGAAGCCAAGGGAGGCCCCATTCTCAAGCTACAGATGAGGGGCTGAGGCCCACAGAGGACCTGGGGCCAGGACACTTGCCGTGGCCTTCTACTTCAGGCTCCAGGTGATCCTGTTGCCTTTGGGGATTTTGTCCCTCAATTTAAGAATCTCTCAAATGTCTGAGTACCCAGTATGTCCCTAGTCCTGTTTGGCACCATACCCTCAAACTTGCCCACCAACATCATACTTACCATAACATTCCTGGCCACTGAGAAACACAGGCCCTGAGCCAGCCCGGAGGTGAAAAGTAACTGGAGGAGAAAATTCTACTCCTGTCATGGTGACCTGCAGTGGAAGGGATGTGGGGACAGGAGCAGAGGAGACAGGGTCACTGGGGTTTGGCAGCTGCTGTGGGCTGGCCTAGGTAATACTCAGATATGCTCCTCCCACCACAAACGCTCATGGGCTGTGTGGACCTTGGTGCCTGCTCCCTTTCTGCTGAGGTGGGCCTTGTCCAAGATGGGAACCTTATAATCTCGCTTCAAGACCACAGATTGCCTTCCAAGATGAGGGGCAGCTGTTAGAGAAGTCTGAAGGCTGGGGTCTGACTTGGGACCTCCTGTGTGCAAATTCATGGTTAGGCCCCAGGACCCTCTGGTGCAATGGTATTTGGCGGTGGGGATTTGGGAGGTGATTAGATTCAGATGAGGCGAAAGGTGTGGAGGGTTCTGGTGGGATAGCGCCCTGACGAGAAGAGATACCAGAGGGCTCGTCTCTCCTCTCACACTGAGAAGGGGGCTGCCCATGAGGGAGAGGACCCTCACCAGAGCCCACCCACTTGGGCACCTACTGTTGAACGTCCAACCTCCAGAACTGAGAAAATCAAGCCGTCTCTGGTACCTTGGGCAGCCTGAGCCGAGTAACGTGTTGACCAAATGTGAAAATGCCACGTGGGACATGCAGAACAGCTTTGGTTTTATGAGAAATATATGGATATACATCTGAATAAAGGTTAGAAACAGTTAAAGAACTAGTGATAACTGTCGGAGGAAAGTAGGGTATTTATTATCTATACTTTTCCAAATGTCCCAAATTTCTTTCTTTCTTCTTTTGAGACAGGGGTCTCACTGTGTTGCCCAGGCTGGCCTTGAATTCTTGGGCTCAAGTGATCCTCCTGCCTCAGTGTCCTGAGTGTTAGAACTAAAGGAACACACCACTGCACCTGGCCCAACTTTTCTAGAATAACAACAACTTATATTTTTTGAGCTTCTACCATGTGTTAGGTACCATGATAAACATTTTACTTGCTTTATCCCACTTAAATCTACCCCCCCACACCCCAACACCCATGATAGAAGTACTGTTGTTTATAGAAGAGGAAGCTAAGGGTTAGAGAGATCCACTTAAGAGTTTGTGATCCAGCCAGGCACAGTGGTGCACATCTGTAATCCCAGCAGCTCAGGAGGCTGAGGCAGGAGGATTGTGAGTTGAAAGCCAGCCTCAGCAAAAGTGAGGTGCTAAGCAACTCAGTGAGACCCTGTCTCTAAATAAAATACAAAATAGGTCTGGGGCTGGGGCTCAGTGGTTGGGTGCCTCTGACTTCAATTCTCAGAACTGCTCCACCAAAAATTAATGTTTCTAGCCTACGACGAGGAGGCGAAGGCCCCTCCAAGATCTTAACACAAGGGCTATGGGGAATGTTGAGGATTGGGGCCTAAAAAACCCCAAACCAACCCCCTAAAACCAACAAACCCACTTAGCAGACTTGAAGAAAGATAACGGAAGTGCCAGTGCTGGGAGAACCTAAAAACCCTTAGCTGTGTCTCTCACACCCGCAAAGGCTGCATTCACACCGTGGGTACTGCCAGGCAGGAAGTTGGAACAAAGTCCTAGCCTTGGGATATTTCTAGAGCAAATGGTAATGCAAACACAAAACCACTCCACTGGGACACCCCCCAAGCCCAGGCCACACGGAGAGCTTTCAGAGCAGAACAAGCAAACCAAACCCCTGAAGATGAGCTCACCATGAAAAGTCACAACTCAAACGAGAAACAACCCTGCCGGAATTGGCAGAAAGAGGCAAAGGACTTCAGGTTAGTACAACCAAGGAGTCCAGATAGGAGAACAATGACTGAACACTTCAAAATAAACCTGGTTATAAATGTAAAAGTGGGAAACAGAACCATTAAAAAAACCCATGAAAGTAAGAAGCAAATGCAGTCACAAGGCCATGAAAAATAGGAGCATTAAAATAAAATGATCAAATGGTAAAAAAGTAGAATAAGCCAGTGGAAGCAAGAATTAGTAAGACAGGGCTGGGGTGCTGGCTCAAAGGTATAGTGCTCGCCTAGTGTGCGTGAGGCACTGGGTTTGATCCTCAGCACCACATAAATATAAAGATATGGAGTCCACCTATAACTATATAACTATAACTAATATATATATATTAGTTATAGTTATATATATATATATATATTTAGTTATATATATATATATATATATTTAGTTATATATATATATATATTTAGTTATATATATATATATTTAGTTATATATATATATATTTAGTTTTATATATATATATATTTATGAATTAGTAAGATGAAGTGATGCTGTAAAGAATTACTCAGTACAAGCCGGGCGTGGTGGTGCATGCTTGTAATCCCAGTGGCTTGGGAGGCTGAGGCAGGAGGATCGCAACTTCAAAGCAAGCCTCAGCAATTTAGCAATGCTCTAAGCAACTTAGTGCAGCTCTGTCTTGAAGCAAAAAATAAAAAGGACTAAGGGTGCTGTATCTCAGTGGTTAAGGACCCCTGGGTGCAATCCCAGGTACCAATAATTAATTAATTACCTAGTAAGAGGTAAAGGAGAGATTTCAAAACTATGAAAGATTAAAAAAATTTTTAAATCCTATAAATTAAAATAAAACAAAAAACAGAAGACAAAAATATGAAAGAAAGGTTAATACATGGGAAACTAAATGGGGAAGGTCCAACATGCATCTAATCATGGTGTGCTGTAAAGTTGAAAAATTATAATTTGAACCATTACAAGTTGGGGGCTAACTTTGCAATTATTTTTTAAAATTTTAATTAAAAATAAACATACATCACACAATAAAATTATAAGAATCCACTGAAAATCCACAAGAATAATAAAATTTTAACACACTTCTTTTGGTAACTGATAGATCAAGGAGATTTAAAAAGTAACGCAGGTTTGAATGCTTAATACACTTGATTTAGCAGACACACATAGAATCCTATGATACCACCATGTATTTGTCTATATGTCAGGTATCAACAAATACCAAAGAATAGATAGTCTTTTTTTTTTTTTTTTTTTTTAACTGGGGATCAAATCCAGGGGTGCTTTACCACTAAGCCACAACCCTTGCCCTTTTTATTTTGAGACAGGGTCTTGCTAAGTTGTTTAGGGTCTCACTAAATTGCTGAGCCTGGCCTTGAACTTGGGATCCTCCTGCCTCAGCCTCCTGAGTTGATGGGATTGTAGGCTGTACCACCATGTCTGATGATAAAATGAAAAATCTTAAAAGCAGCCGGGTGGGCAGGGGAGGGCGACTTTACTTACAAAGAATGAAGATAAAGATATGAGTAGATTTCTCCAGACAATACAAACTAGGAGAAAATGAAGCAAAGTTTTTCAGGTATTGAAAGGGGAAAAAAAAATCAAACTAAAAATTTTTTTTTGGGGGGGGGTTACTGAGGATTGAACTCAGGGGCCCTTACCACTGAGTCACACCCAGCCCTATTTTATTTAAAGCTGCTGGGATTACAGGTGTGTGCCACCATGTCTAGCTTCGACCTAAAATGTCTTTCAAAAGTAAGGTGAATGATCCAGGCATGGTGGCGTGCGCATATGATCCCAGCAGCTCAGGAGGCTGAGGCAGGAGTAAAGCGAGTTCAAAGCCAGCCTCAGCAAAAGCGAGGCGTTAAGCAATTCAGTGAGACCCTGTCTCTAAATAAAATACAAAATAGGGCTGGGGATGTAGCTCAGTGGTCAAGTGCCCCTGAGTTCAATCCCATGTTAGAAAAAAAGAAAGAACAAGCAAGATGAAAATTTCCAGACAACAAAGGCTGAGAGAACTCATCAGAAGCAGACCTACAATACAAGAAATTTTCAACTCCTTGAAGCAGAAGAAAATGTTACAACATGGAAACATGAATCTATGCAAAGGAATGAAAAGTATCCAAAATGGTACATATGTAAACAAATACTAGAAATGAGATACTTTAATTTATAATCCCCTTAGAGTCTTTAAAACAATGTAACAGTAAAACAATGTAACAGTGCAGTATAGAATTTATAGCCTTTGTTGACAGGTAAAAGTTGTTACAATAATACCTCAGAAGAAGGGAGGTAGGAGATGGAAGTAGGCTGAGTCGCCGCCGTCCTCCTCCTCCTCCTCCTCTTTTTTTTTTTAATTTCAGTAGAAAGTTGTGTTGAAACCAGGAATGTTCTATCTCTGAGCTACATCTTTAGTTCTTTTTATTTTATTTCTGAGACAGGGTCTCACTATGTTGTTGAGACTGACCTCAAATTTGTTAAGCTCCTGCCTCAGCCTCTTTAATCTCTGGGAGTATAGGTGTGTACCACTGGGCCAAGCCTTAGCCCTCTTTCTCATTTCTTATTTTGAGACAAAATCTCACTAAATTGCTGAGGCTGGCCTTGAACTTATGATTCTCTTGCCTCAGCCTCCTGAGTAGCTGGGGTTACAGGCATAACACCACCCACCATGCTCACCAGTAATAGTCTTTTAGAGTACATTAACAGGAAGAATATTATTTGGAGGTAGGTTATTGTAAATTAAAGATGCACATTGTAAATCCTAAAACAGCCATACACATACAGAAAAAAATGTTTAAGTATAGCTAAGAGGCTAATGGTAGAGATAAAAGTTTAATCATTGCCCGAGGTTGTGGTTCAGTGGTAGAGCACCTGCCTAGCACATGTGAGGCATTGGGTTTGATCCTTAGCATCACATAAAAACAAACAAAACAAAGGTATTGTGTCCATCTATAATATAACTACACAGGCAGCCCCCCCCCCCCCCTTCAGTACCAGGGATTGAACTCAGGGGCACTCTACTACTGAGTCATATCCCCAGCCCTATTTTGTATTTTATTAGACAGGGTCTCACTGAGTTGCTTAGTGACTCGCTAAATTGCTGAGGCTGACCTTGAACTCACAATCCTCCTGCCTCCACCCCCCCAAGCCACTGGGATCAAAGGCATGCACCACCGCGCCTGGCCTACACAGGCAGCTTTAAAAAAAAAATAATCATAAAAGGACCAGGGATATGGCTCAGTGGTAGAGAGTTTGGC